TTACGGTAAGATTTTCATGTAGAATTTAGTTGAGCATTATTGCGGAATTAAGGGATTTATTGTTACTACGGTAACAGCACCCTGTCGCTATAAAAACTTATTTTACATAAAAAAAGAATATATATTTATTATAATTATAACAATAAATAACAAGTGTAGATTATATATTAAGTGAAGAATTTTTAAAAATATTAAGTAGTAAAAGATGATTATTGATCAAGCAAAAGAGGTGTTGCCACCGTTTGAAATAAAAGATTAGGAAATAAAGATAGGAGTTAGACTGAATGATTTACGCAATAAAGGGTTTCTTTATGGTTCTAGAGGTCTCCTGTGGTAGCTTGTACGCAAACTGACCAAAATAATAATAAGAATTAAAAAGGTTCGATTAACAATAATAACCGAAGGACTTATTGAGACTGCCTTCAAGAAAAACTAAACATGAAATAAAATAAAATAAAACGTCGGTCTTATTGAGACTGCCCAAATTAAAAATATCAAATTATTCGTTGATAATAATTCACAGAATTATTGTTATGCCTGTTAAAGGGTCAATAATCAAATCAGTTCGCAGTTTAATCAAGTTCAAAAGTATGGCTTATATAGAGTAGAGGTCTTCTACTGTAAAGTTTGTACGCAAATTTCTGAAGTCGATCAAAAGCAAATAAGAGAGGATGCTTTATTAACAATCTTTATCTTTATTTGATGATTTAATATGGACTTATTTTTTTGTTTCAGTGAACAGCAGCTTTTATTGTTATTTATAATAATATATATAGTAAACTAATAAATATTTAACTATTAAAAGAATAACTATGAAAACGGAACTCATACTCGAACTAATAACCGAAAAATGTCATGACAATCACACGATAACATATTTCTCGAATCAAGAATATTATAACGAATTCTACAACACTACAATCACACTCGTTACATGATATCATATTAGTCAAAATTTCCCGAATTAAGAAGATTATAACTAACGCTAATTCTACAAAAGTGTGTTTACATTAATATAAATCTGTATAAGGTGGCTCTTGATTAGACGAAGTATTAATCTCGCTAATATCTTGATTCGGTGGAGGAACACAAAAGAATAGATCACTTAGATTTTGATCAAGTGAAAAAGGTGTGTTCCTATTATAAGGTGAATTGCTTAGTTCTTGATTAAACGAGAAAGTGATAATCTCATCAATATCTTGATTCGGTGGAACAGATGATAACGATAGTGATGTCTTTAGGTTTCGATTAAAAGTAAGAGGCGTGTTTCCATTAGTAGTATTACATGTATAAGGTGAATTGTTAAGTTCTTGATTCGACGACGACGAAATGCTAATCTCTTGATTCGGTGGAACAGAAAGAGGTGTATTTCCATTAATAGTAAAGGCTGTATTATAAGGTAGATTATTTAATTCTTGATTAGACAAAAAATATTAATCTCTTGATTGGTGGAGAAACCGAAGATAGTGGAATTGTAAAAAGAGGTATGTTTCTATTAATGGCATCTCGTAGAGAAGTGTTTTCTATACTTAATTGCCGAATTTGTTCTTTAAGTGATTCTTGTTCTGCTTCCAAGTTCTGTATTTTGTCAGACTGAGAAGTATTTTCCACAATTAATCGCCGATGTTGTTCCTCAAGTGATTCAATTAATTCCTGCGAATTAATGAGTTCTTTTTTCTTTTTTTCGCGGTATCGTTTAGCTAAATTTATAAATAATAAACCGTTTTTATTAATGAACATATGAAAAATATTTTATTTATTCTTTATATATAAATTATAATTACAATATTCACTTCCGCGTCTGTTCATTTTAATAAATTAACAAGCTTTGGGTGAGGTTGTTGTTATTATTAGTGCTGTTGTCGAGGTTGTTGAAGTTGTTGATATTCTTGAATACGTTAAAGTTGTTTTTAAACTTGAAATTTTGTCAATTATTTATTGCATTATGAACGAAATTGATTATCGAAAGAAAGATTTGTCATCTTATATTTTGTTTCTGAATATCTGTTGTTCCAGCAACGGTGGGACTTTTGCTTATTTGAAGCTTTTGATCCTTTACATATGTTGCGATACATCTTCGAAATATAAAAGAATGCGTTCGCTGCTTTACTTTGATTTCTGTTTCTTTTTTAAAAAAATATTCTTTTGTAAGATCCGGTAAGCCTAAAATGACACCAAAATTTTTCCGAAGGGAAAGACGGTATAAAGTTTGAAAGTAACATTTTCTTTTGATAATTCTGCTTCCTGAGCAAGTTTGTACAATAAAACGGAAGTATAGAAAATTCTAGACGAATGAAATTTCTTTAATTCGAACGAAATTGTGTTGTAGGCTTTTTTTTGACCTTTAGGCAGCGTTTTCCAATGCCTTTGAGCAACGGCAGAAATTTCAGCAGCGTCACCTATTTGAAGATTTTGGTCCTTATTTAATGTGTTTTTACGAGATAAATTAATATTGTACAGAGAAACCTCTCTAAGTGCACCCCCCCCCCCTTGGGACCATATTTAAAAAGACAGAATGTACATTAGAGAGGGTGTGCATGTATAGAGAGTAAATACTTAGAGGCCTTATAAGTTTGGGACTGAGCATAGCGTGCATTAGGAAGGGTTTCTATAGTGTGTGCATTTAGGGAGGTTTCTCTGTACGTAGTATGTTTTACGGAATAAGTTAATAGTATTGGTATCGGTATTTATATTTTCCTTGCCTCGCAAATCATTGCTATACACGTACATTCGAAATTAACTTTTGTGATGCAATATTTGTTACCGTTACATAATTTTCTGACGACGGATTTTGTTGACGACAGATTTTGTTGACAATGGAAATTTCTTATAAATGAAAGCGAGAATTAAATTATTGGTTGGAGAAGTTTGTTACATTTTGCAAATAGCGTTGCAATTTTGGCATGGTCATACGAGTAGTACGTTTTACAAATAAAATTAGTCACACATTATCGTTATTTACGTATTACATGCGGAAAAATTTTCGTTCACGTTAACTTATCTGTAAAGAAAAAGAAGTGGTCAAATAATACAGTAAAAAGTTCTATTTTTACTGTTAATGCTGTTAGAAAATTAACTCTGATTCGTCGGAAAGCGAATTTTTTATTAAAAAAGAATGCCATGGTTTTTTGTCCTGGATTTTCTCCAAAGAAAGGTGCACTTATCACATGTATCAGAGTAATAAATCGTTGGAGGGTATATCGCAAAGTTAGCGCTCTACGGTAATACATATTTATCATTTTAATAAGAAATAATAGGTGATTTTATCGCTGGATCAAATACTTGTATAATTGTCAAATAATAAATAAAGATTCCTATTAGCTGTCATTATGAAGTTATCGTTGACGCCCAAAACAGATCAGCTGATGATTTGTGGACATTATGAATGGGCACAAGTTAGGGCTCGATTTAGCATTGAATTATACCAAATTTTAACACACACGGTATTCGATGTTAATAATTGTGCGTCGCTATTACTATCGAGTATTCACTTGAAGCTATTTTAACTTTTATTTGTGTGTGTATAAATCGATTCGGTTTACCGATATTGTGTTAAAAGAACAGTCATGTCTTCATAGAAATTCCACTTATATGTGTTTATCGTTATTGTCGTATCAAAAGATAAACCATATCTTAATAGAACTTCCATTTGTATGTGTGTGTAGATTGTTTTATCTCTATTATAAAACATATTCAAATATGAATGCAAGATTCTCTTCTTCATTTAAAGTAAATGAATGGATAGAATCCGCAATAAAAGAAGATTTTTCGATTTTAGCAATTAAAACTCAAATATTTGACTGTACTTTTAAAGAATATTTATAAGTGACGATAGGAAACAAATAAGAGATTTATCAAAGAGATACCAATAATGCGTTAAGCCGAATTGCCCTATTGTGAAGGAATTTCCAATATAAAAATCATAATAAGCCTTAACTAGATAATTTTCCCTTCCGTTGCCTCCGGTTTAACGATATTCACTGTATATATTTGTGTCTTTATAATTGAATGCATAATAGATTTCTAAAATGTCTTAGGAACTCTTAATCGAAAATCCAAATTTGACCAGTAATATTATCAAAAAAGTCTTTTTCTATAATATTACTAGAATTTTTAACATGAAACATATTGTCGATTTAAGAATTCCTGCACCATATAAATATCTGCAGATTTAATTAGTCATTATTATAATAGAGTATCGTTACATTGAACATACAATTGGCGAAAGAAAGTCACTGGACACCTGTTTACTTACAGAATAAAGAAAATATAAAATTTATATTTTTTAGAGTTTCATAATTTTAACATCTTTAGAAATTTAGTAAAGGTAAATAACGATAAAAAAGTGAACTTTAAGAATCATCGTTATTACTTTTCCAACAAAATGTTGTAAAGGTCTGTACCTTCAGAAAGAATTCAAATTCACCATATCTCAATCCAACTGAACTACGTGTCCAAAAACCGGAATCACGACAAAAAAATTTTTGGCGAACTCATTGAAAAAAATGTGAAGCAATTCTTAAGAGACTTATAAAAAAATCATGGAGAGTATGCCATAAAACATCCAGGCTAATGAATGATACCTGACGAAACTATTTTCATGATGACGAAACCCCTGACGATTAACGAAACCTGTGACGAGTGACGAAACTAGTGAAGAAACCTTCTGACCAATCAAAATACATGTAAAACTTAATCACATGATTATTGATGAAACCTGTGACGAAACCTTCTGACCAATCAAAATAATAGCTAAAATCACATGTACAAATATACGTATTCCGAATTTTAAAGCACGCAAGAAATCTGTGCCAGGCTTTGTCGATCATCTGTCACGTGTATTATAATTAGCCACAATCCGGCGGCCGACACCCATTTATTAAAGTTCGAAAGA